GGCCACCTCGAATATCCTATTTTTTGGATCGAATGTGAGCGGATGTCCGAGCGGATCTTGGATATCGGATAATAAGTCTCAGGGCTAGTTAAAATGACTTAAAAGTTTGAGATATTAAGATGGATGATTTCGATTGGGCTTTAAAAAGCTTATAGTATCAACTAAAAACCTTTATAAAACAAAAAATACTTCGAAAAAAATATATATCATGTATTCTAACTAAAAACATTTATATTTTATTTTCCTTATTTTCAAATATTTCTTTTCATTTTTGGTCTTCCTATAAAATCATTATCATTTCAAAAATGTTTATGATCAATTTCCTTATAAATAAATTTCATTTTTTATTTATTAGTTTTATAAAAACTGATTATTTATATCCTTTTAAGAATAATTTTTCTGTTTAGAATTATTAACCTATTTTTAACTATTTTCATATGTAAATTTAATTAATATTTTTAAATGTAGAACATTAAACTTCCGATTAGAATTATATACATATTTTAAAAATTCTATTAGAATTATATACATATTTTACAATATTTTCATTTATAAATTAAAATTAAATTTTAAACACAGAAAAATACTTTATATTTTGACTATTTTTGTATCATGGAGAAAATTACGAAACCAATGTTACGCACATGAATGATACTTCTAAAGTTGTGCGCACCCTCTTTGAAAAAATAAAAGAGAGAGTTAATCAATCTATAATATTAATTGGGGAGCACAAAGAGCAGGCAAACAGCCCCCCAATTAAAAAAAAAAAATATCATGAAAGATATACAAGTTGCCAAACAAATTTAATGACAGCCAAAAAAAAAAAAACTATCTATATTTATGGAAATCATAATAATCTTTTATCAAAAAAAGTAGACAATTAAATTCAAAATTAAATATATATAAACATATCTATTTAAATATATGTAGACATCTCTATTTTAAATATACGTAAAAATATCTAATATTAATTTAATATTTTAATATAATTTCGAAATTAATAATTTATAAAAAAATAAAATCTAATAATACAAAATCATCATATATCTAAAAAGACAAAGCTAATATATTTTTTAGAAAAAACAAAAAAAAAACAATATGTTAGCTTTAAAAATACCCCTTTTCCAATACCACTTTTTAAAAATACCCCTCTTTCTAGATTTATCAAAAAGTCACTATAAAATTTGAAATTTATCAAAAACATATGTGTAAACTTATATATATATAGACACAAATTATCTTTATATGTGTGTAAGTTTATATATATATTTAATAAATACCGTATAAATATATTTTAAAAACCTTTTAAAAACCATTTAAAAACCTTATAAAACTGTGTAAACCTTTTAAAAACCTTATAAAAACATTATAAATGCCGTTTAGAACCTTTTAAAACCTTATAAATATTTGGATTTAGTCTCCCAGTAGTAATGATGACCTCGATGTATCTTATTAACCATATAAAAGTTTATAATTTTTCATATTTGAAAAGGGGTATTTTTGAAAATGGATAGAAAAGAGGGGTATTTTTAAAAAGGGGTACACCAAAAGGGGTATTTCTCAAAAATTCTCTTGAAATAATAAACTAATCAAATTCTACATAGTGTATATATATAACTGATCATATCATCAAATTTTTAAAAATTATATAATTTTAAAATATAAATAAAATTTAAATAAATCAATAATTAAATATTTGTTTTGCTAAAATCATGCGAATAAACATTATAGATCACAGAAATTTCTTATTTTCACATAAAAAATACTCATCTTCAAAAAGCAATCTAGTAATTATAGCACAAAAGATATCTACAAAATTTATCATTCATTCAATTAGTTAATGATTTTTATTTGGTCAAACAGTTAGTTAATGATTATTCTAAATTTCTTTTTTCTTATTAATTTCACACAATCTTAACAAAATAAATCTTCATCCATTGGCAATGTGCATATCATTACTATTATCAAATATTAAATAATTGTTTTATCAAATCATAAACTACATTTTAAGATTATAAACATATAGAATTTCTATTAAGATTAAAACTAAATAACAAGTGGATATATCACATTTAAATGATTTTTCCGACTTATTACCAATTTTTAAATAATAAATGGATTATATTTTTATGATTTAATCTAATTGAAAACAAATAAAATGTCAAATTGGTATGATGTAAATGATATAGTAAATAAATATCTACAAACAATAATATCTCACATATACGTACAATTTTGAACTATCCTTGACAAATATGATATATAAATTTTGGATAACCGGTTGAAATAAAAAAAAGTTGGTAGTTATATGAAATTTTACACATATTAAAATTATATTTAGTTACATGTAAATGGTGTTATTTATTAAAAATATATATATAAACTTATAGAAATGGATACGAGACGGGAACATATAATTCGAAACAAACATTATCTGAATTATTTCTCATAAAAAAAAACATGATTAGATATAATTGTTACGAGACACGATCATAAATTTAAATTCATTTTCAACTTTCAAATATAAAACTACGAGTACGATACGAGGACGTGTAATTTAAATTGCTAAATATTGAGACATGAAATGACGGGTACACGAAGATAACATATACTTCGGATAACAAAACTACAGTAAATCCATGTATTAAAAAAAAAAATAATACTTAAATCTTTAGAAAACAAAAAGACCAAAACATGAATCTTTGAATTGAAGAAAGTAATGAGAAATAAAGATGAAACTGAACGATCAATAACATTAAAAGTCGAACAAGGATGGTGTATGCTAGGATTAGAGACAGTGCCTTGTTAATAAAATTGGTGGGAGCATGTGACTTATAAATGGGTATTAGTTTGATAAAAATAAATATTTAAACGAAGAATATGGGTGGGACAGGGCAGGGTGGGACAGGGCAGGGTGGGACGGGACAGGGCGGAACGGGGTGGGGCGGGACGAGATGGGTCGGGACGAGACAGAAATGGACATGACGGGGTTTCTATTCTAAACTACACATAAAACAATTCAAACTAAAGCCAAATCCAATTTAACATCTCTAATCAAACTGTTAGATATGTTTTGATTAGTCTAAAAAGTAAACACGTAATATCACTTATCATTTTCATTTAAATTATTTTAAAATTATATTATGTAATACAATATCTATATTTTACAACTGTATGTCTATATATAGTTTATCAAATAAACTCATATAACAAAGTTTTACAAAAATAGCATCTACATAAAAAATTGTAATTTTGTAAAAATAACTCTGTACGTACGTGCGGGTCCATCACTAGTTATTCTTAATGGAAAAAGACTTATAAAAAATAACTTAGGTGGAAGAATGAAAATAACTTAAGTGGAAGAATGAAAATAACTTAAATGGAAGAGAAAAGTAGAGAAATAAGTTTTTAATTTATATATATATATATATATATATATATATTAAAATAAAAAAATATACAGTTACTATAAATGTTTGAAAACAACTGGGTAATAGATGTATCCATTCGAACATGTAGTTCAAATCTCTCTGTGTAATTCCTCATTTGGATTTATTTTTTAAATAAAAAAGGCAAATTTCAGAAAAAAATTACCGCTTGTTAGCAGTGCGGTTTTGATGAAAAAAATAAAATCTTGTTTAATCGCTGCCTAATTAACAACAATGCAAAAATGGCTTAAAAGTGTGGTATGGTTCAATTGCGGTACGAAGAAGAAAAATATATTTGTGAGAAAATTACGATTAATACATAAAAATTGGAACAAGATAATGTTTCATTAGTGAAATACAAAAAGAAATACATATTTTAATGTATTAACAATAATTATGAAAAATAATTTTAGTTTATTATTAATTAACATGCATTTTTAATATATTATTATTTTAAATCGTTAAATCATAAAAAAATTATATCTAATATTTTGATTATTTAAATTCATTCATAAGGTCCATTAACTCCAACTCGATTTATAATATGATTTATAACGATAAAACTATATTATAATATGAATTTTTTAACTCAATATTATGAATTAAAAATATTATGTTGTTTACCATTTAATAATATATAAAGGTGTTTAAAACTTATTTTAGTCTTTGTATAAAATATTATTAAAATGAAAAGAGAAATAGAGGTGGGATTTATAATAAACGGGAGATATGGATATTAAATTTCAACTGAATAATGGATTAAAGTTTCCAGTGTATTGAAAGGATCAACCGTACATACCAACTGGTTATTGAAATGGACATTGTACTAATTACCTTAAACCATTATAAACCCAATAAATAAATAAACCCTACAAATAGTCACCAATTGTGTATAAAATATTGAAATCCCATCGAGAACTGAATATTGATTTCAGATCAAGAGATTATAAAAAACCTTTGCAAATTAAAGCAAGAGTCTTGAAACAAATAATATAGGATGAAAATTATGTGATTAGATACACTTAACTGCTTGTGTTAACATCTTGTGTTAAAAACATTATCTAATTGTAAAGATGTTATAGCATATAACCATAGGTGTAGAGATATCAATTGGGCCGCCCATGTACATATATATTTTATTGAAAATTCTGGTTATAGCCCAAAAAGGACCATATCCAAATGAAGACCAGACCAAATAGGACCATGTCCAAATGAAAAGCAGACCAAATAGGACCATGACCAAGTCGACTGTCCATAAGGTCCATTACATAAAAACAATGTGTAAGTTCATACATCAAAAACGTTCATAGCTCCTACTTTAGAGATGTTCTTTGGAAAATTGTTTGCCAGCTACACAGACAATTCACGAACACATACGCACACATGCAGACAATTTTAATGTTTGGCTAGCTACATAGACTATGGACATCACATGAGCACAAATGAATGAAGAGAATGACAAACTTGTTTGCTCATTAGTAGTTAACAAAACAGTTCACACAATTCTTAGATGACCACATATGTGTTTATGACGTTAAGAGAAAGACACAGACACTTAAAGATCAACAACCATCAACCAAAAATAATGGCTCCAATGGCACATACAAGCAATCCGGATAATCCTGTTATGATCAATCGTTGCCTATATATAACTTTTTCTGCGTCTTCCACATGCTTCTCCAAACCAGTACGAAGTTCTATAACGGTCATTCTTAGTTCATGGATAATGTATTCCTTCTCTTCAATCTCTGCCATAGCTTGACTCAATGCATTTCGCGACAATCGTTTAGACTCTTCATCATCAAACCACTTAAAATACTTGCGAGGCTCCGTTCCACCATCCTACATTCATAATAAAACTCAGAATTTGCTATTTCCATTCACCTCAACATAAGAAACACACACATTAAACATACCTTATACAATTGACACCCAAATAACCTTTTCCATGGATTCTTTTTGGTCTTTGATGTGAATATCTTGGCTGGCAATCCACAATTACACTTCCTCAAACCTCCCAAATATCTAGTAGTACTAGATGAACCCGTGCTTAAATCCATCTTACCTAAATTCACACTGCTCTTTCCCTGTCTTAAAAAACCAACGACCAATCCAATATTTTAAATCCAACAAAACCAGACATAAACGAACAAGAAACAAAAGTTAAACCCACAAAACCCAGAAACCCAGAAATAATCGAGAAACATTTATAATCCATGAACCTTACTCTCAAGATTTCGATTTCTATTTCACATATTAGTGAACTCAAAACGATATGTATTACCTTGTATCGTGATGAGATTCGAATTCCTCTTCCTCAAGAACCCTAAGTAAAAGGGGATTTTTTTTTTCTTTTTTTGCTTTACAGATCGTGAAAGTATTAGGAAGAGTAAAAGAGTGTTTGTTATGTAGAAATTTCAATTGAACCGGGTTTGGGACATTACAAATTTGGTCCGGTTAAAAAAATAATAATTTCGCGGGTCAAATTATTAACCGGGTCATAATCGGGATTAAGGGCCGTCACTGGATTCCGTCGTTCCTTCAAACGGGAAGGTACTGGAAGCTATGGTTATGGTGCTGCGTACATAACCAATGTTTGTTCAGATATGTGCTCATGTGATGTCAATAGTCTGTGTAGCTAGCCAAACATTAAAAATGTATGCATGTGTGCGTATGTGTACGTGAATTGTCTATGTAGCTGGCAAACAATTTTCCATGTTCTTTTGATCTTTTTGCAAAATCATACATATACATAACCTACTGATTTATAACTCGAATCTTCTTTCTTTCTTTCTTCATCTTCATCTTCATCTTATAAACATTAATTAATAAATTTTGTTCTTCTTTTTGTTGTTCATCTTTATCTTGCAATCAAAGAGCATCACGCATCTCAATTGATATTCTTATAGAACATTGATTAATAAATTTTGTATATCAAAATTTGGATCACTTTATCACAAATATGTTAAAACCCATAACCCAAGACATAAGAATCACAAGGAACAAAGCATTTGGAGTAAACCCACAAATTGAAAAAATAAACCCATAAACTGAAATTACCTTAGACAACCAATTACAGTAGGATAATACGGCTATGTCAAATAGATATTGAGTCAATCATTCTATTAAAATCTGAAAAATGTGTGTATCTGCATAAATATTGTTAAACTCTTCTGTTTGTTTGTTGTTTTCTAAAAGTTATACATCATAATTGATCTATTGATTTTATTCACCAAGTTTGTTTCTAGTGGTCAAAGACATTTTAGCCACCTTAAAGTTGAATTGGCTTATAGCTGGGGAGTGACTTGTCTTATTTGACAATACACATCTGTTGAACACCATTTTTGACATTCCCATCAATATTTTTGGTATATTTTGTGCCAATTCGAACAAGCACGCAGATAACAACAAATGGAACCATATTTCGAGTGGATTCAATTTATATTGTGAATGAATTATATTGTGACTGAAACCGTTTTATCAAACTTTCATGACCTTACAAACACTGTTAAATAATGTGTGCAGAGTATTTTCCAAAGGATCATAAGGTTTTATTTAGACATGGACTATTCACAAACCACGCTCGATGATGGATGGAGCTCATCTAAATGACCATCCAAATGAGGGAAATATTCGGCCCGTTGGACACACTTCTCATATTTATTCATTAGGGGCTTCACCCTTACCCTTGAGTTGTGGCTTATTTTAAATATATATATATATATTACATAGAGAAATGTTTACAAATATTTTGTCGTAGACACCTTTTTGTAAAAATACTTTCTTGTCCACTTTCACTTTATTCCTCTTTTAATTTTTAATGATCATTTTACTCTTGTTTGAAAATTATTTAAGTCAACAAAATACCGCAAAAACATTTTCCCACAAAATTTTATTTTTCAACCAATGATCTTGGAATTTAAAAATTTACAGATGTTCTTACAAAAATTACAAAGTTTTAACAAGGATTTACAAGATTAATAAATAATATTTTATAAGATTTTTAAAATGATTTAGAAGGGCTTATGAAAGATTTTAAAAAAGGGCAATAAAAGATTTACAAGTGGATTTTAAAGATTTACAAGATTTTACAATAATTTAGTAAATATTAAAAAATTATTTACAAGGATATTTTAAAAGAGAGAGAGAGAGAGAGAGAGAGAGAGAGAGAGAGAGAGAGAGAGAGAGAGAGAGAGAGAGAGAGAGAGAGAGAGAGAGAGAGAGAGAGAGAGAGAGAGAGAGAGAGAGAGAGAGAGAGAGAGAGAGAGAGAGAGAGAGAGAGAGAGAGAGAGAGAGCTAAAAGCATCAGCATTGGTGAATGACCAATCTTTGTCCCTCCATTATTTTTTGAATATTAAGATCATATGACTTTTTAAAAATTTTAGTGTAGGAGCATTGGTGTCTCTTGTTATTTGTCCTTCTATTAAATTAATCATATTTTTAATTTACAAAAATAATTTTTTTAATTACATAAAAAACATGGAAATAAAACATATATCATCCCATTCATACCATTTTATTATTACAAAGTTTAAAAAGTTGAAAAAAGGAAAAACATACAATTATTACATTATTAATATAAAACATCAAGCATACAAAGATGAAAATTAACAACATTGAATTCATAAAATTAGAAAATTATTCTTCATTATATGGAAGAGTACTATTTCAAAGAAGAATAAGTGTGAAGAAGATAAAGAAGAAGACAATAAGGAAGAAGAAGAAAAGCGAGAAGAAGAAATGTAAGCATAAGATAAGTGAGAAGAATATTTGAAGTTGTGATGCTTTTGTAAGAGTTAGCCAATGGTTATATATCATAAAGGGTAGTTTGAAGTGGTTATACAAACCTGTGACCATTACAACTTACCCGTGACCAAACAATGAGAATAGAGGACATATAAATTTTCTTTACACGTGACCAAATACAATTTCTTTGTGATGCTTTTCGCAGTTATATAAACCAAATAATAGAGGACATATAAACCAAAGAAGACATTTTTCTCTGTGCATAAAGTTTGAATTACAACAAAAATGACAAAGTTTGAGAGACAAGAAGACAAAGTCCATAATCTCAAAGTTAGAATTGCAACAACAACAGGACAACAATAAGACAAAACAACTAAATGTCATGAGAGCAATGAGTAAACCAAATGCATTCTTCTTTTTAACTAGTTCACCTAAATTTTTCTCTAACATCAGCACCTTCTCCTCAGTTTCATTGTCAGTTACCGAGTTCAAGCTATCTACTTGGGAAGAAAGAACTTCATACAACCTGTCTTGGCCCTGAATCTCTTCCATGACAGCTTCATCCCACCACTTGTGTATGTGCATTTCTCCATCCTCAACATTAGGACATGTGAAGTACTTTCATGAACATATACAAATTATCACATCAGTCTCTTCAATACCAGCAATGTGTAAAACATTGGACAATACTTATCAAGACTTAGGACCACAAACCTTCTTCCTGGATTATTCCTGTTGTAGCAAGTAGAGAGAAAAGGGATGCCACCACAATAGCAGACCTTAGTAAACCCTTAGTACTCTACCTCAGGTTGAGGAGGGTATTGCAGATTCTGTGCAAGGATGAATCTCCTCTCTTCTTCATCCATGAGAATAGCATGAGCATTGCTCATACTACTCTCACCTTCATCCATGCGTATCAGAGCTTCTCTTTCCATCTCTTCACAGTCTTCATGCTCCTCATATTGCTCTGAAGAACTTGGCTGACTGTAGCTGTAATCATGCCCCATTAGAAGTATGACCTGAGAAGCAAACAACAATATCAAACAACCTCAGTGTGATGCAAAGAATAAGAGAACTACTAATGTGATCCCGGTATCGTCAGGATGAGAATCAAGATTGTAAACCAAACAATAACATAACCATCAGTGTGATGTAAAGAATAACAGATGGAAACAAGAAGAACCAAGGCAAACACCTCAACAAATATAAGATAATGTAAGCTACTAGAGGACGTGATTACTCAGAAATATAAGGTTTGTTAGGTTAATTCAAAAAGAACTAAACAGAAGAACCAAGGCAAACACCTCAAAAAAAAAGAATGGATTCACAATACAAAGAGGTGAAACATACCTCTTTATTTCTCTCCCGCTTGCTTCTCACCTCATGAAATGTATCTGGGAAAATCATAACATATGAGTACATTCCCGTTACCAACTAAAGTGCCACAAAAACCAATGTACGTCACTATGTTGATCTTGAAACAATATACAAAATCCAAAACCCAGATACTCAAATCTCAATCTGAGCATTGATCAATACTTACTCAGATTAACCTTGCAAACAACAGTAGCTAACTTGACGAGAATCTCCCTAGGATTCGACACTCTTAAGTTGAGAAAGGATAGATTTGGCTGGAAAGCCGTGGAGCGGAATAGAAGTTGAATGGTCGATGGATATCACAAGAAGCTTGCGGAATAGCTTCACGATACCGAACTTAGATCCTTTGGATATACGCACCAAAGAGGCTAAGGGTTTTGCTGGATATACACACCAACAAGAAGATATCCTTAGAGAAACAAAAGGGTTTTGATAAAAAGAAAGGTTGTCTTCTCATAAGAGATTACAAGGGGTTTATAAAGAAGAAGGAAGTCTTGGAACACACTCACAAGACTACCTTGGAAATAACAAAATATTAAAGATAAAGTTTGAATAGAAATGACTCTTCAATTACTTATTTTGTCACTCCTCTTGGCCAGCAAACTACCCACTTGGTTTGGGCTCTTCTTGGGCTTGTAATAGGCATAAAACAAGCTAGACTTGATATATATTCCATTGGGCCAAGTTCTGAATGCATTGTCATGGTTTGGATCAACAAATGGGTGATTTGAATGTGAATCATTTACCTCATTAAAAACCTTGTCAAGAAAACCCATTGGGACAAAACTTGACAAGGGAAAAAGAGTACAAATGAGACACATGCCCATTTAGTGATCATGTATCAAAACCAGTGAGGTTAAGATAACATTTTTGCCATACTCTTTTCTCCGCTGTAAGCTCATTCTCTGGTTCAAACAGCTCCTTAGCTTCGAGCTGCTCCTCTGCTTCAAACTCCTCCTCGGCTACAAGCTCTTTGTGACGTTCCAAGTTCGTTGTGCTAGGCATGATCATATCATAACTATAACAACAATATAGGTTATGTGAACAAGAAGACACACGACAAACAACAATATCTGAGGCACAACATTAACAGAAACTGAAATACTTTATATTATCCGAGTACATAATGGAAGCCACAATACAAACTGAACTCACAAGATACTGAAAAACACAACCAGACTGAACTTAGAATACAAACTGAACTTAGAATACAAACGGAACTTAGAATACAAAGTGAACTCACAATACAAACTTAACTCACAGGAAAGAAAAGCAGGAAATAACACTTATTAGATAGAAGCAAGATGTCTCAGAAATACTGAGCAACTATCTTACTTTTGATAAGTTCATCTGCTGAACTTAATGGGTCCTTCTTTGCCAGAATTGTGTCAAGTATGGCAAGCTTTTGAAGCTTCTCTGTCTCAGCCATTTCCTCCTTCTTTATTTCCCACATACTCTTATACTCTATAAGAGCCTTCCCTTGAGCATTTGATCGTTTTGCTTTTGCAGCCTTTACTCCTTCAGGCCTGACCTCACACTCTTCCTCAATGCTGATCCTTCTTCAGTAGGTTTTCTATTTGTTCTGGCTTTAGGTTTACCCGAGTTTATAGTGTTTATACTTAGCCACTTCTGTTCATACCTTAGTAAACACCAACAATGTTCTAAAGTAAATCGAGTTTTGAAGTCTGAGTAGTAAATCTCATGGGCAACTTTCAGGGCATCATTCTGTGAATGACCACTGCTGTTTTGCCTCTCTGCAGTAGCATATGAACCACAAAACTTGTTTGTGAACTCGTTTATTTTGTGCCACCTCTGCTTACAGTTGACATTGAGGCCTTCTTGACCACTCTCTGTCGAACGTAGAGAAGCATCATAATACTGGGCTACCCTATGCCAAAAACTTCCTCCCTTCTGTTGATTCCCGACAATGTTATCTTTAGAAGTATTGAGCCACGCAATGGTCAACGTTTCATGATCACAGAGGCTCCATTTCTTTCTCTCTTTCACACTAACTGGTGTTTGTGAGCTCCTAGCAGGTGTGCCATCAGTTGGTGTGCCTATTGATGGTTGTGAGCTCCAAGCAGGTCCTTCAGATGCAAGATTGTAGGCTTGTGGAGGGAAACTCTCATTAGAGTTTTCTTGGTTTTGGTTATCAAGCTGACTGTTTAGCAGTTATAAATAAGAAGATGAGTGTGGATATGGATTATAAGAATCCATATCAAACGGTTTGATAATGGAATAGAGATGTGTTAGATGGAAAAGAGAAATATAGAAACAAAGGGTTTGAGAATGGAATAGAGAAAGAAAGATAGGGTTTTAAGAATGGAATAGAGAAAGAATAATATGGTTTTAAGAATGGAATAGAGAAAGAAAGAAACAAAGGGTCTCAGAATGGAAAAGAAAAAGAAAGGTCCGGTTTCATAATGGAATACATATGTGTTAGAAAGGCTGGTTTGAAGAATGGAGTGGAGATGTGTTAGAAAGGCTGGTTTTAGAAAGGAATAGAGAGGACAGAAAGAGTTTAAGAATGAAAGAGACAGAAAGGGTTTCAGAATGGAAAACAACAAGGAAATAAATGCTGGTTTGCTACTTCAACATACAGGTGAGATAAGATGGTCGAGAATAGAACGTGGTGTGTAAGAAGGTTGCTATTATGTTTATAAGTGTGAAAGAAATCAACAATAACTGACATGCTACTAAACAACAAATGTCCAATCAGAACAGATAATAATTTAACTCAAACAGTTTTAAAAAAGTTTCATCTTTATCAAGTAATTTACATTGTTCTAATCTAACCAGAACAAATTTGATTTCAACTAAATCCTAACATTCATAATACACTCTATTAATAACAGCCAAAAACAAAGGTCAAGCAATCTAAAAAATCTACCACAATCATAACTACCTAGTACACATGTAACTTACTCATACAGTGAGCTAAAAATAGCTACTAGACATGCCATTTATTTCAGTACTTGAGCTAACAAAGGTGTTTACATTGAATAGCATCTCAACAGTCAGTGAACTAACACAGGTAATGATACTCAATCAATCCTAAGTATCTCTATTTCACCAACCATTCGAAGAATTTTCATCTTTATCAACTAATTAGCAACAATCATCTCAGTTTTCAAATGCTGCAAAGGAATCAAGAATTACCTTCGAATGTTATATGAAATTGCTGCTTCTTCCACTCCTTATTTATGCTTTTCAGTCCTCACCTATATCCAATGCATACAGACAACAATAACAGATTATAAATCGTGGGACAATTATCAAACTAAATCATATCCATGAAATTTAAACCTTGGTGAGTTAAACGAAGCACAGAAAGATCAATCACAGCCAAATAATATGTAAAACTCTGTCATACTATTAACAACAATCAAACTCTGTCATGTAATTAACAACAATTAACAACAATCATCATGTAATTAAGTAAATCGGAATTTGGAAACAAACCGATATCAATAACACTGATCTAGATCCAAATATCGATTCGCTGCTACTAAACCCTAATCGATTTATTACAACCAACCATACAAAGTCCTTGCTTATACAAACCAAATCCCTTTCAAAATCCATGCTTATATTAACCAAATCCCCAAATAAAATCGATGTTTATACAAACCTAGAACCCATAAACTTTTCCGATTTCAAAAACTTACTGATTAGGGTTTCATAAAGCCTTTCCGATTGGGGCTTCGTCCGCCGGAAGAAATCTAAGCCGGTCCGGAACACGATTTAGACTCACCACCGACGGAAGCTCGCTATCGATTCAAATCGCCCTTCCACTCGCCTTCTCTCGACAGCTACAGACGCCACAGACAGAGAAGAAGAGAAAGAACAAATCGACCAGACCCCCGAAAAATTTCTTCCTTCACTTATCCCACATCCAATCTGGACGTGACACGTGGCAAGAGGGACGGAATAAATCGTCACGTTTCAACGAACGTTTCTTCGTATTTCTTCACTTACCCATTTAAATTAAAACATTGAAATACGGGAGACGGACGAATAAGCCGCCGTTGCCCTTGCTCTAAGGGTTTAAGAGAGGAATGTATAAAAATGTTAAGGGAACATTCCAGTGACTCTTAGAAACGCTGCGTCTTTCCATTTTCAAAGGAGAATATTATCAAACACATTTCCTAGAAAACGTTGCGTTTTCGTAACTTGTAGCCTAGGGTTAGAAAATCTAGCAATTTGAGCCTAGTTGAATTCGACCCATTAATATTAACAATCAAAACGGCGGCGTTCCAAAAACTTAAAATATTTAAGAGACTACAAAAAATCATTCCCTGCATCCACAAGTCGTCTCACCAAGACACCATCATGCTTCGTTATTAATATTTTTATAATCTATTCATTAATATCTTGAACCCTTCAAGTATTTATCTCATGAAAGATCATTTCATCATTCATACTTATACCTAGTTTAAGAAACCAACCACCACTTCCGAGTCCACTACCAATTCCAACCTTGTGACTCGCTTCTCCCAAGTCATATAGAGGCCATAGTAAACACCCCATAGCTCGGCTAACTCAGCCGAACACCAGCTAAATATTCACTATAAACCTCTACACCACTAATATTCATTGTAAAACCTCTACACCAACTAATATTCACTGTAAAACCTCTACACCAATTTCCTCCATTATCTCGCAACACACCTTTTATAGTAGCTAAAGTCGAATTCTATTTAATCGCTCCATCAGTATAAAGTTTAAACCATCCCTGCAATGGGACCTCCCACCAATCTCTAATTCCACTCTCGAATACTTAGTCATTTGTTCTCATCTCTCTGCGTTTGCCCGTGTCATCTCAACCGCAAGATCTCTTATGAACCGAACACTATCAGAGCAAGTACCCTTCTTCCCAAACACATTACAATATCGCCATTTCCAACCCCACCATAAGGCCTTATGGAACATCGTCGTGGACCATTCCCCTTCCTTCGTTACTATCTTACTCGCCAAATTTGCATAAACCCATTCAAGTAAGGATGTATTAAAGAAAACTAGCCCTAAAGTTGAGGGACATATTTGAACCCTTAAACCGGCTACGGCTTGACAGTCGCAAAGAACATGTACGGTGGTTCCAATTTCTCCCTTACAACTTGACGAACATAAGAATCACAAAGATATCTCTTCTTCCTCACTACGTTCTTCGTAATCACTTGTTGCACAACTTACCAAATGTAAAGCTTCAATATTTCTAGTGCAATAACTCTCCAAAGTCGTCCAAAAAATGATTCATGTTATGTTTTAGTGTTGTATCTCATGTCACAAGCTTATAAGCCGAAGTAACTGTGATCTCGTTTGAGATAATTTAATCCGCTTCCACTTGTTCATCACTACCGAGACTTCGATCAAATGGCACAAACGCTCAAAGCACAACACAAATAAGTATAAGGAAAAAGGCTCGCCCTGTCCGAAACCTCTTAAAGGTGAGAAAGAATTTACCTCTCACCATTCCATAGAAAACTCATAGATGGTCCCACCACACACTGCATAATCCATTTTACCCACACATGAGACAAGCCTACTTCCTTGAGAGTATCCTCCAAAAAAATTTCATCTCACTTTATAATAAGCCTTCTCCCTTTATATTGGCTTCACATGAAGTACTGGGAATCGTTACTAATCAGATCGACTTTCCACTTCGATTCCTTTGGTATGTCATCAGCAGTGCCCTTATGCCTGACTAACTCGATACCCAGTCCACCACATTCGCATCCTTTCACCCTCAACTACTTACCAACAGAGTCTCGCTCCTATCTTCGTCCTCCGCCGTACATAGTCTTGACTATGTACATATTCACATCCTTTCACACTCCACTACTTACCAACATAGTATCGCTCCTCTCAACAGATTTTCTTAAAAGATATGGAATTTAAAGTCTGAAATTGGGTTTATTTGCCCCATTCCTTACCCTCCGAAAATTCCACAACATGCTATTCATTCTCAATCCACAAAAGTAAAGAGAACTACCGGGAAACGTTGCTAATCAGACCGAGTTTCCACTTCGAATCCTTTGGTCTGTCATCAGCAGTGCCCATGTACCCAGCAGTGCACATTGATCGATCAATCCACCACATTCGCATCCTTTCACACTCGACTACTTACCAACATATTCCAGCTCCTCTCTCTATCCTCCACCGTACGGAATCCACCAGGACTCCCAATTTCCTTTCTCAATTCTCATCCTCTTCCCAGTTTGAGACATCTGAGTCTCCCCTCGTACTGGGCCAAAAACTAAGCCTCTTATCGTTCTTGTTATTTTTAGGGAGTTAGGCTTTGGCCCATTAATTACACCCTTCTTCTTTTCCCAGGCCTCATCTCCGTAAGCCCATCTCACGATCTATCACTCTTAACCAAATTCATTGCATCAAACACCACGAATGTATCTTGTTTGCCACTCATTCCATTTCTCCATTGAATGAGATAATTCTCATTCCCCTAGGTTCTCGTGCTCTTGCCTTAACTCCGCACCATCAATATCAACTTCCAAACTTCCGAAACTGTTCAATAGTTAAATAATTGTGGAATCCTTACCCGTCGAAGTCTTCCGTTACCACCACTACTGTGCCCCCTAACGTCATCAAAACATTTATGGTTTTAAAAGGTAAAATTTCGGACTGGATCGAGACTGTGAATAGTAGTTACTAACCAAAAATAACTTCTAAAATTTACAAAACTTCAAAATTTCAGATTTAATAAGGGTATTTTTTTGTAAACCCTAACTACTCTTTTATAAACCCAAAGCGACGAATAATATGTATTAGTATAGGTTTATAAAATCTAAACCTTAACCATTGTTTTATAAACTCAAACCAAAAAATAATTGCCTTTAATTTATAAAATCCAAACCCTTATATATCTTCCTTTATAAACTCAAACCATTAAAAAAATTATTGTGAATTTTAACCCAAACCCTAACCACTCTTTTAGAAACCAAAATCAACATATAAAAATATATAATTATAAAATATGAACTATAATCCTCATTTGTAAACCCAAAACGACATATAATTTTGTTTAATTGCAAAATGTAAACCCTAATCATTTTTTATAAACTCAAATCGACATATAATCCTTAATTAAAAATCTACTGATTTCGTTTTCTTAATTTGCTTTGTTTTTCATATTTTAATTTATATTTCTTCAATATAATAATATATTTAATATTGGCTAATAATCACACCTTTGATTGGCTAATTACCGATTTTATTCACCTTCTCTTAATTAGCCAATCAGGAATAAGAGGAGTCCACCCCAAGAATTTATTTAACTAACATTCTCATCAATTTTGATCAAGGAATAATAAAATTCATTCAGTTGTGCTTAAATTTTCCAATTTTTTTTTGTTTTCACATAAATTACATGCATTAAAATATTTCAATTAAAATATATAAACCTATACTAATACATATTCTCATCTCGTATTCAAAAAATTATTTTATAAGGTCATTATTTTTTTCAAGTTTTTATGTTTTTACATACAATCATACAATGGAAAATTTACTAAATATATATATATTTTTTTGTAAATAATTCTTTTCGATTTAGGGTAGGAATAGATAAAAACGTCAAATTATATGTAGATACAATTTTTCGTAATTAGTTTTTTACTACATTAGAAAAAAATAAATATATTTTTTACGCATGTCCGCAGTTTTGGAACCCTAGTTTGCTTAGATGCTTAAATGAATTGATCTGGTCACATATTTCATCAAAGTGCATTTATTGTTTCAGTCAAAGGTCTTAGGAGAACTCTACAGTTAAGCGTGCTTATGCCGGAGCAGTCAAATGATGGGTGACCTTCTATGAAGTGGTTGTCGGAACTGTGTGAGTGAGACCAAAATACAGGAAAAGATCATGTGGTGATTTGTAGGATCGGTAAACAAGTATTTAAGCCTCCTGGGCGTAGCAAATCGATCGTCGGATATGAATATGCTCACGAGCCTAGTGAGAGGACATGAGGCCCATTAAGAGAAGTGGGCTCATGGGCTGGTGGTGAACATGAAGCCCGCTTGATGGATGAAGGTCAAGGAGTTACAGCAGCTGAGTAATATAATTGACACGTGTCACGGTTTAGTTAATCAAGTTTTTACACATATGAGCATTTCATTCATATAATTAACATGTGCCACGATCTGGTTAATTAAAATTTTCACACATGTTAGCATCTCATTAATATAATTGACACGTGTCACTAGCCTTGGGAAAAAGTTATGGGTACCGAAGAACCGCTCTGGTTGACACCCGGTTAGGGTGGTATCGGTTCTGCTTTGGATCTATGAAAATTACCGATTGGGCCTCGAGCTCAAAGTAAAATGGGTATCGGTTCGGGCCGGGTTTTACCATACGTTACTTTAGGCCTCCATTTGCACCGATCCTCTAAGCATTAGGCCTTTTAGGCTTTGGCCTTTTAAGTTTTGCTACCCACGAGTTCTCTTTTTCCCATGAGTTGGCGACTCCTCATGTTCTCATGACTGAACCAAATACGAAGGTCGCCAATTTTGCTTTTCTCTTCGTCTTCTTCACTCGATTGCATGCTTTGTCTAGTGCAATCAAGTACCATCTAGGCATCTACCACCTTTTCGATTCGTGTTTCTCCATGGAAGCTTTATATAAACCCATTATTCCCCATGGAGAGAAGTTCTCTCAGAGAACCATATCCAAATTTCTCGATTTGTATTCTCCATCGTCTCCTCCGTCTCTAATCTCTACAGTCTACAATTTAATCGCAGGTTCGTAGTACAATCTCTTATACTTTCTGTAATTCGATTATGTGCAAGATTGTTCTTAGCTAGTTATAGTATTATTTATAGTATCTGGATAGTAAATGTAAAAGCTTTTAGTTGATAATTGATAGGTGAATTCGATTATTTTTTAGTTTTAATTGATATGATCTTAGTTGTGTTATGAATTAGATTTGTGTTATCTTACTACTATTAAAAGAAAAGTACAGATATAATCATGGCTTAGAAATATTTACAATTCCTTCAGTTACCCTTAATTAGTTGCAAGGAAAAATAGTTTTAAAAATTGAGGAAGGAATTTTTAGTCATTTCTGGGAAAAATTTCAAATGCTCCGACCCGGTTTAACGTAACCCGCGCGTCAGCACCAGATTATTTGTTTCACACGCAAGCGGCGTTCGATCCAGGTACAAAACGATCTTTCATTCATTTAATATTGTTTTCGATTGGGCTGCCATTTAAAAGATCTGTCACTTTGTATGGGGTAACTAATTTAAGTATTTCTTATATAAATCTGGCGTTTGATTATTTGGTCTGTAAGGCCCAATGACCCTAATCGAGAATTACTTCAAAAAATCGTTTAACAACTTTCGTTAGTCAGCCCATGAAGTAAAAATCGTTCAACAACAATTTTACATATGCTAAAAATTACGGGGTTATTGTTAAAATAGGCATTTTGTGTGTCAAAACTTTGAAATAAGGCATTTCTTTCCATGCTTATAAAACTAGGCATTTTGGATGACGCAAACTGCCGAAACTAACCCTATCAAAACGAGGGTGATTTATGGCGCTTGAATTTCTTAGACGAGTCGGAGAGTTGGTTTGCTTTGGGGGAGTTTGATTCACAAATACTGTTATGGTGCTTTGAGAAAGTTTGCTTCAGATGTTAATGGTGCTGGTGCTTTGGGAATTTTAACATTATGTGATTCAGATGGTGATGCTTGGAGAAAGTTTTTGCAGAGCTTATGCCGTAGATTTCTCTTACCACATTCTCAATCTTATAAGACAACGATATATCAATTATGAACATGAAAAACAAGAATCAGTTCCTTAAGCTACTAACTCCTTCAAGATCTTCTTTGACTTTCCAACCATCTCATCTATGACAAAAACCATGTGAGACAATTGTTCAAGAAGATCATCATACTTACCATCAATAAAACCCTGAAATAAACATTTCATATAAGTTAACATATAAGAAGCAATCATAGATTAATTAAGAAAGTAATGAACTAGAGCATGAATGTATATATTAACCCATGCGACTAAATGAGGAGTTTGACTACGGCTAGAAGCCATTTTACTTACAACATACATGGGTTAAAGTAAACCAATAAGCCATAAAGAACGCAAAAGAGAATAACATATGTATCAAGGAAAACTATACCCTAAGGATTGTAACTAAGGGAACCCAAGGACCAAATGAAACACACATGTATTAAGACAAAACTATACCCTAAGGATTGTAACTAAGGGAACCCAAGGACCAAATGAAACACACATGTATTAAGACAAAACTATACCCTAAGGATTGTAACTAAGAGAACCCAAAGACCAAATGAAACACAAATGTACTAAGAAAAAACTATACCCTAAAGATTGTATGCAAGGGAACCCAAGGACCAGATGAAACACACATGTATCAAGGAAAAAGCTATACCCTAAGGAGTATTAGTAGAAGAGCTCAAGAAAAAAAAATAAAAGCACTCTAAATAGAACACTAAACCCTAAGGTTACACAACTAAAGGAACCCAAACACCAAATGAAACACACATTATAAAGAAAACTGATGTGAGAAGCTGATATACGAACGAACATAATTCTTAATAAACATGCTTAACAAGAAAAAGAAGTCTTGTTTCAAAGGCAGAGTTCATACCTGAATTAGATCATCATCTTCAGCAGTAATGCAGTAAGCTAAACTTCATTGCATTAACCTCACTTAAAACTCAATACAAAAGAATTCAGATTAAGAGTTCGTAAAAGCAAATCTGCAGCAGTAATGCATTAACCTCTAATTTGAGTGATACATAAACCCACTTGACTACTATTTCGTTATCTTACCCAAATTAATGAATCAAACATAACTTAAGATTACTAGTTACAGAGACAACTTTTTGTTGTTTTACACGGAAATTAACAAACTTTCAAGGATAATCAGAACAGACCTCCTAAGAGAAGAAACAGCGGCCAAAAAAGCAGAAAAAAATCATCAACAAATGATGGAAATTAAACTCCGACTTCGTCGAGGAAGAGGACCTAACAAGCATAGATCTGAATTTTTTGAGATGGCATGTAGGCTTCTCCATCAACAAAGCACAAACACATAAAGACAAAATATAAAATCAAAAGCGTTCACATACCTTGGGAATTGCAAGGATTAGCTTCGCCGTGAATGATGGAGGTCATAATCATCATGTTCTTTTCAGAATCGAGTTCACAAATTCGGAAGCCGTAGTAAAAATCCTTTTACCGGAGGGCATAGTGACGAGAGAGAATTGAGATTCGTCATCACCCATCGCAAAAGCTGAGAGAGAGAGAGAGAGTTTAGAAGCGTCGATGCAATCGGAGGATGGTCTAGAAGAGGAAGAGCAAACAGAAGGCTAGATATGTAATTCTACTATATAGAAAAATGCCTATATCTAGAAGGACGGACAAAAATGCCGTATTAGACAATACCCATCCGATAAAATACCGATCTCGTAATTAACTCAAAAATTACCCTTGGAGTAGTTCGTTCAACAACTTTCATTAGTGTTTTGATTTTTGGTTATTAGTTCTTTACTATACAAATCAATTTTAGTTTTGTTTGACTTTTTTCTCTCATTTGTTTTACAAAAATTCTTAGTTTTTTATGTTTATATATATTCATAGTTTTTTTTAACATATTCTTCTTCTCAATATTTCTTATTCTAGATAACAATCATTTAATTAATTAATTATATATATATATATTAACACACAATGAAATTATTAAAACATATTGCATATAAATAGTTTGAAAAAAAAATCCATAGGTATTACACATTATAAAAAAATTATATAAAACAAAGGAACAAACTGATAATCCCTTATGACTCATAATAAATTATTTTCTGTACATTAATATTTAACAATGATACTGTTTTCTGAAATTTATAAAGTGAAAATAATCAACCAATTTGGATTTCCAAAATTAATTTTTTAAATATCTTTCATAGTTTCTAAAATGATAATTTTTTTTCAAAAAAGATAATCAAATTCTAAATAAATAAATTAAAATTAAAAGAAGTAAATATTGGCGGGTCAGATTGTGGGATGGGTTAGAGCTGACATTACCACGACAATGATTTTTTCAGTTTTATCCACTAAAACATGTAAATTACCTTATGCTAAATTTTTGAGTTTGATCCACTAAAACATATAAAATACCTTAGTCTAATGTAAGATATGTTGTATAAGATGTGTTTCTTTGAGACATCTAAATGGACAGTGCGGTACAACCGGGGAGAATGTTTCTAATAAATTTTGATTTATAAGGTAGTTTTAAAAATTTTAAAAATACATTTCCAATTTATTTTAATTTTCTTGCTAATTAACGTAGTTGTAAATTATATATATAGTTACTTGGTTGTTGCATTTGTAAAAAATGACTTTGGATATAAATTAAGTAACCCCAGTGAAACTAAACCAGAAATTTGAAAACTATTTATTGGTATTGAAAACTTTAATTATAATCAAATACTAATTTTTTAACATATGATTTTTATGGCCAAACAGAAACAAAAACTTGAAGCAAAAATAGTATTTTCTAAGTATACCGATAATAAGGTATACAATATGCAATACTACAAATTAAATGTCCAACAATTATTAACTATAATAATAATAAACCAATCCGTTATATCACACACAAACTCCGAAATCTAACCCATTCTTACCAAGACGCTGTAAATAATAGTTAAAGTTATACACAAAACATCAAACAAAATTTCTGTACACAATCAACTACTAAATGAATCACTATATACAATAAAACAAAACATATAAAAGAAAAAAGTATTATTATCCAAAATTAATTTTACAAACAAAGACCCGCGGTGTACCGCGGGTTTAAACCTAGTTAATTTTATTTGATATCATATTATTTGTGTTATCTGTTATGAATTAAAATCATGATGGTCTTTTGTTCTATTCTTAGCTACTAATTTGCATTTGCTTCTTAGTTACTTATTTGCTTCTTGTATGTGTGTCTTCAGATGGGTTCTTCATGCTTTCCAAATGAAGACGACTTTGAAGAACATATGATTCAAAATGAACAGCATGACAATGACAATGGACAACAAGCTGCTGAAAGTACAGAAGTTCTTGGAACTCCTGAATCAGGAAAGAGGAAGGATGCCCCTGAATCAAGTACAGCTAAAGGAAAGGCATCTAAAGAGCTCAAAGTCATCATTTCAAGATCCCCTGTGTGGGATCACTTCACAAGGAGTAAAGAAGACAGAAACAAGTGTTTCTGCCACTACTGCAAGAAGTCATACGGCTGCAAGTCTAAGTCAGGGACTTCTAATTTGACCAACCATTTGGCAGCCAGCAAAGAATACCAAGCGTATATGACAAACAAGTCTCAGAAAGTGATCAAAGGAAATGGAACAATGAAAACTGCAAGGATAAGTGAACCTATATACAGAGAGGCAACAAATAAGATGCTAAGGCAGAAGTCATTTGAGGTGAGGGTTGATTCAGGGAAGCTGAAAAGAGGAAGTCTCACATTGGATGTGAAAACCAGATGGAATTCAACATACACAATGTTGACAAATTTCCTGAAGTACAGAGTTGCTTTTGACAAGATGCTAATAGAAGACAGGTTGTACCATGACTACTTCCAAGAAATGGATAATGGGAACACACGTGTTGGACCTCCTGAATCAACTGACTGGCATGCCATTGAAAAGTAACCTACTGACCATTTATACTTACACAAAAAAAGATTTATATTGACATGTTTATAATTGCCAACACTCACTTGTTTATCTCAAAGGTTGGTGAAATGTCTGGTAATTTTCTACAACTTAACTTTGGTTGTTTCTGCTTCCACCAGCTTGAATGCGCACACGTGCTATGGTGAAATTGTTACAATAGAGAGGAACCTCTGATTTCTGACTAACAGCAGAGATGATGATTTGAAGAACAAAGCTGCTGACATGTTGAAGAAGTTTCTGAAGTATTGGGATGGAATGAATAATATCAACAAGATGCTGATCATTGCAACTGCGTTTGATCCAACAAAGAAGTTGAAGTTTGCCAAGATGTGTTTTGAGAAGCTGTATGGTGAAGATTCCGTTGACTTCAAGGCTATGGGTGATTCAGTTTTCTATGTTCTTGACTCAATGTATAAGGAGTATGCTGCTGAGAAGATGGAGGGTGAATTATGTCAAGTATCCTATCTTGGCTGAGATGGCTAAAGATGTATTTGCTATGCAAGTTTCATCTGTTGCATCAGAGAGTGCTTTTAGCACCAGTGGTCGGATTCTGGATTCTAGTAGGTCTTGCATGACTCATTACATGATTGAGGTTCTCATGTGTACTGAGCAATGGATGAGGCAATATATTCAGAATGGGACTGACCCGACATTGATCACAAGTGCTCAACTGCTCTTAGAGTTTGAAATGTTTGATCAGCTTGAGAAAGGTAATCTTTAACAACTTTTGTTATTGAGAAACCACAATAGTTTGTTTATAATTATTTTTGTAACTTAATTTTAAAACTGTTTTGCAGAGTTTGGTATTGGAGATGCAACTAATCCTTCACCTTAGTTATTCTCATCAAAGAAAAGGTAAATAATCTCCTCTGATTTGTTATTCTCTGATTTGATATTTATTACAATGTTAATTGTAGCTCTCTGTTGTTTGATGTTTTGAAGGTATCTTTGTATTGGTCTTCTTGTGTGGTGTTTTTTTAAGTCATGGATTGCGGCAATAGTTAAGGTAAATTAGAACTTCATATGTCTTTATGTGTATAAGTTTATAACTCTCTTGGTGTTTACTTTGTTGAATGATCCATCTTGTTATTTGACAGGGACATGGAGTAGCAGTGTTATTTTTTCATCATTGATGCTTCGTCATTGTTTCCATTTCCCAGTTTTTTGATCGGCTACTTGATCAATCTTTTGTTCTGTTTCAAACTATGTTAAACTTATGGTTCAACTTTGGTTATTAAGTTGTTGTTTTGGTTAATGTTATGCTACTTATTGGTTATTGAGTTGTTGTTTATGGTTAATGTTATGCTACTTATTGATTATTTTGTTTTTGTTTTTGGTTATTAGTCGGTTATTTTTGGTTTGAATTCGGTTTTTTAAATACTTTGATTACAGGAAAAAACCAAACCGATCATAACCCGAAAATATTTCGGTATATTCTAACCGACCCGAACCCGACCAGTTACTAACAAAACCAAACCGAATTTATTGTAATATACCGAATGGGTATCTATATGTCTAATACCGAATTACCCGATATCCGATTGGGTCTACCCGATACCCGATTGGGTACCCGATTGCCCAGGGCTACGTGTCACAATCTTGTTAATGACTAACTTTGTAAACTATCTATATTAACATTTTTGCAGCATTTTTAGAGAAAAAAAAAACCTTGGAGCTGGAAGTTATTTACAGGCCTATGCCATTGACATTAATAATTTAGTTAAAACTTTAAAAAATAATAATATAAACAAAATTAGTTAAAACATTAATATAAACAAAATCCCTAAAATCACACCCTATTAAATACAACAATCCCGCGGTGTACTGCGAGTTAAAATCTAGTACTTTATATGAGTAATTAGTTCATATTTTATTTCCTGCTTATATTTTTCACTATATCATACTTTATTTTTTTTAATCTTATATTATGTTTGTATAGAAAACCTGTTGAATTTTACCTTCATTAGTAGTTGAGAAATTAAGTTTGTATAGTATAGGTTGATGTGTGGATGTAAACGGAATTGCGGTGGACAATCATAGAGAAACATGTGTTATGAGGGTTCCCACCAAATATAGATCTAAATGTTATTATTGTGGGTCTTTTTAATATGTTGGTCCGAAAGTTGAAAATGATTTGTGTGTTTTGGGCGGATTGTTGTATTTTTTGTTGGTTAAATTATCTCTTTATATATTGTCATAATATTTTTTTTTCTTACGTTTTTCTTTTTTGGATTTGACGTAATTTATATCTCGCTGTGATAATTTTATCTATTATATATTCGTTTATGATTTTCTGTTTTATAATATTTTCGTATTTTCTTATGGAATAATTTTAAAATTTAACATATTAGTATAATTTACGTTATATTTAGTTCATTTCACTTAATTATGTTTTT